TCTGGTGTGTCCTTATAGGCATCACTGAGAGTTTTGATTTTATCATCTTTTGACTGTAAAAAAAGATATTACTTGACACTTAGAATAACTCACAGGGTTGTCTCACCACATATACACTTAAAGACCAGCTATAAATAAAAGTTACAGCCACATACTAAAATCTGTTTTATGGACATTGCCTCTTTAGCACCAATTACAATCTGACATATGTTAAAATTTAAATGAAATCTCATGTTTAAGAGTGGCCTCATTATTTAAGACACTAATACATATTAATTATTTAAATGTCATTTCAGTATTGGCCTTCAGTATAGAGGATGGATACAATAGAAGACCAAAAAGTAACATTCAAGTAAATGTAAGGTATAAAATTTCACTTACATTCTTATATAATTCACCATAGAACTCTTGTTGCATGTGTAATTTTTCTTTCTTTGTAGCAAATTCACCATACGCATAGTCTAGTACTGGAGCACTTATAGTGTGAGTGGCCAGTGATACAATATGACCAAACAACTTTTTTATAACCTCATGACGGATGTAATCTGTGCCATATTTTATTATCCGTTTCACTGCATGTTGTGCGTACTTCGATTGCATCATTTGCACCATAATGTCTAACAATTCTTCAGATATTTCATTTTTTATATCTTCTGGACTATGCTTGAGTAGGACTTGGATAACTCTGCTTAAATCGTGAGTGAGTGCGATGGATTTGTACTGGCCTTTCAACATGCAGTGAAGTTCTTTGCATGCTTTCATTCTGAACTCCTGTTTGACCACTTTTCTGTAAGTATAAGTAGAATTTTATGTATAGAAAACCTAGTTTCAAAGTTTTTCTTTGTTGAAAATGAATGTATAATGTTGAGCAATATATTTTATAATATAAATAGATTGTTTACAGTGTGTTATGAAATACTGTAATAAGTGAGTATTGAAATAACATTTATAATAACTCAATAAGAAAAACTAAATAAATCAGCAACCGTGCTTGGTGTTCCCACTGCTCGTATGCTCCTTTCTCTTAAAAATAAAAAGAAAACAGAAATTACCTTTGAATTTGTGCAGATAACAATTTAGCCTTGTGTGAAATCTCGAAAATTTCAGCAGTGGCCTTAGCTTTACGCCGAATTAGTCGTAAATTTTTCTTTTCCTTTTTCATTTCAGCCCATTTAGGTTTTTCACCTTCCTCCTGTGCTTTTGAAAATTTATCTTTCACAAAACTTGGTTTACCTTTAGCATTGGGTGTTTTACCAAACTTCCCTTTGTTTTGAGCAAAATTACCTTTGGTTTTAAACCCGACTTTGTTCTCTTTATCACCAGTTTTAAATTTAGGATCATGTTTATTGTTTTTGAAGCCTTTGTTGGGTTTATTAAATTTTGAGGTCCCATTTTCTTGGTTTACTTTCCCGGCATTTTTCTTTGTCTTGAAAGACTTGTTCTCCTTGAGATCGTCTTTTGATTCATTAAATTGAACTTTCTTTTTCTTCGGAGATCCAGCATCTGCTTCGGTATTTTTTCTTTTGGTCTTCAACATTATGAATTAAGGCGCACTTATATCTTAAAATCTAGACGTATAAGTTTAAAATTGCTTCGTCGCAACAGTTAAGAAATAATTGAGAAATTACACAACTGAATGTGTATTAATATAACTTAATTATTACAATAAATGTTTTAGGAAATTTGTAATTTAAAAATTATTATTTCCACGTGCTGTTGAACTGGTCGATGGTTGACATTGACAATTAAAAGTGACAGTTGTCGAGAGCCATTTGTCAAAAATCTAAGACGTTCCGATGTTTAAAAAAAAATTAAATAAACAATTGTTAAAAAAAAAATTATAAATGAAAAAAAAATATAAATAATCCAATCTCTGAATAATACTTAAATTAATTACTAAAATAATGTACACAGGATTTTAGTTGCAAACTAGGCTTCATTACAAGTACCAGTTATTTGTGAACAAAACAAAAATCGGACTTTAACAACTATCTTTTTTTGTAAAGGTCCAAAACTGATTTGCTAATCGATTTATTATGTAATATTTAAGTAGCTTATTTTGCATGACAACATTATTTAGAAGTTGAGGAAAACCTCTGCGCCTTCGGCGAAAGTAATAGCATGAAAAGCACCTGCCGTGATTTCACTGACTGCAGGCGCGGTGTAGAATTATTTTTTAGGATTAGAGCGAAAATTATTATACATGTAACAAAGCAAAATGGAAGAGTTACTGAATAAATCACTGTTATGATAAATGAAACTAATCATTTAAAAATGTCTCCCTAGCATCAAGACAAATGATTTCTTCTATCGTTACTTCATATTAAAACAATGCTATTCTATTAAGGAATAATGTGTCTCGAGTTCTTATTGGAGTTATTTTTTTATAGAAGATACCAAGTTCCAAGTTTAATTTTCTCTAATAATAGTGTTTTTATTTATAAGTACTTAAATAATAAAACCTGTAACAATTTTGAATCACCGCTATCATTAATCTTCTCGTATGGGGCAGGTTGGCGGCGAGTACGCAGCGTACAGCCAACGCGCATAATTCGTTTCCTTTCTAAGAAAAGAAAACCATCGCCACGCGAGCTGAAATTAAACGTGTCTAGAACCTTTGTGAGAGTTAATTGCATTTCGTAGTTAGGAAATAAATTACTGTTCAACACTAGTACATATATCATTTTACCTGTCACAAACATTTGTTAATTTCTAATTATATGATATGAAAAGAAATATAATAAGAAAATATTTTTTATTTACTTATGTCCAGAACCTAGAAATTAATAATGATAGAAATTCTAAATAAAATACATTTCCATCTATCATTGTTTTTTTTAAACTTAAAACGCTATTAAAATGTGATAATAGTGTTGTGAGTGGTAGAGGCAGTTAATCACGCCTACGCGGCGCGTCCTCGCAGTTACCGCGAGGGCCGCGCGGGCGCTCGTTTCCCGGAATCCTTGTTTCCGATTCCGAAATACTCAGCGCTGTTATACCGAGAAATCTCGATGGACGTCATTCTTACCGATGCTGTTAAACTCGAAACACGTAGCTTTCTAGCGAGCTGCCTTCGCCGTTACAAATAAGCAGAATGCGTGAAAAGAAGTCGCTGACCCTATGTTACGAAATCATTCGCCTCAACATGGGAGACCGTTGAACGAGTCGGTGTTAACTTCTTCCACTGAAGGTCAAATAGGTGTCAGACACGAAACGAAAATATGTACTTGTAATAACTTAATTGTAATGCTTTAGTGTAGTTTGTCTCACCAAAGCTTTACTAAGGATATTATTGAGACCGGCCGTTAGTGGTATGGTACCACCATAAGTCATTGAAAGTGTGAGTGATGACTGAAATGAAGTATGATAGTTACGTAGAGGACAAAAACGTGTTGCGCGGACCTTAGAGTAGGGTAAGGATGAAGACGATGAAAGAAAAAATGGAAAAACAAAAGAACTTCGATTATTTAAAATTTCATTTATTAATGACGTACATTGTAACATTTAAAATTGATTCGTACAACAAACGTTTGTATACAGGACGATAACTATTGATTAAATATTAAAAACGGCCATTTCGTGGTTACACTATTTACAAGCGTCACTGCAAGATGGATTGTGTGTTCGTGTATATGGCTCCAAGGGCGGATCCAGCTTTGGCGCCAGGGGAGGGGGTCACATAGTTGTGGTCAAGTCAAGAGCTTGACAAAATATATTTACACATTTTGTCAAGCTCATGACACAGCTCAGGTAGGGTCATAACCCCATGACTCCCCCGCCTTTGTGTGGCTCACGGCTGTTTACGGAATACATTTTTATAGTTTTAAAATCCATCTTAATTAACATGACTATTTAGTTGTACCGCAACATATTCGAAAAGTAAATTGATCGCTAAACAAAACAAAAATGGACGCAGTGTATAAAAAACAACACTAAAACGTAGATCATATAAATCAATCAGTCAAAACTTAATATAAAAACTATGCAGGCAAGTGTTATTTACTAAATAATGTTAGGTACATCTAAGGTTTATACAATAAAACGTCAAATCTAAACTATATACATAATTTCATTAACAAATTCATTTCTTAAAATTACATTTCATAAACCGATTCTTAATATATAAAAGCCATCTTAAAGCTACTCAGATTTAATTCAAAATCTTAATTCTATAATTGGTGCTAGGAATATTGAAATTCTGTTTAAAATAGCTGCTAAAATACATCAACGGACACAAAATTACATACAAACAGACTGCAAGATAAGATTTTATTTAGAAAAAGCAACTTTCTCACGGCGTAAGCTAATTCCGGCGTACTCCATGTATTATGTATAAGAAGGTCCCTACTGGAGATTACGTCAAGGGGTTCATTAATCACTCCTTACGTTTCATACGAGACTAAGCTTCGGACGCCGCATATTGAAATTCAACGCAGGCTTAACTATAACAAGTGCACCAATCTAGATCTATTGAGGTTTGATTCATGCTTTAAAGGCAAGAATCGGCTTCTAAAAACTAAATCGAAGATACGTTCGATCGACGTAAGGATTAAAATCAGAACATTACTTAGAAAACAAAACGATAATAATTTTATGTATATAAAACTTATTTATTACACATCGGTACAAACGATACGTATTCATAGAAAGGGTATACAATGTTAGTATTCTGTACCGTAGTCGGGTTATGCCGGACGATTAGTAAGCTGAATTTAATCCACGTATAGCAGCGGAGAGTCGCTGTATACAGCTAGTTCGTCGGAACTTAACTGTTCGTCTCCCGACCAACGACCGGCATACAAATGTTATTTAAACTAAACAAAAAGACACCGCCCGAAAAACAGAATGCTCCCATTTTATAAACACCGTCACGTTTTATCGAAACACGTGCGAAATAAACTTACATTTATTTTCAAGCACCAATTACTTTATAAAACTCTAAACATACATTATTATATAAGTGTTCTGTCCCTTAATGTAGATTTAGTTAATGGCTGTTTAAATAATCATCATAGGATTCTGAGTGAAACATTAATATAGATTAACTTCAAGAAAATTAATTTTCACGTAACGTATATAATTTTTTTTGTTGCCGAGGCGTGATTCCTAACCATTTTTAGCTATACAACAATACTGGGTATTTGTAGAATAATTTTTATATAGAAAAATTATCTATAGCGCAACAGAATATTATAAGATTTTTAATATAAATTTCTAAATATCTCTTACTGACAACCGTTGTTCGTTGTTCATTTACCAATTCAACTTGATCAATAATTTATTCTACAACATTATTATAAATCTGAACATTTTTGTGTAATGAAGACATCGTGTAACGCGTGTGAAAATATTAAATCTACAACAAATGTATATGTAGCTAGCTGTACAATCATAAAGCGATAAAACCTCCTTAAATTCACAACAATCGATAAAGCTTGATTCAGTATAAAATTTGACGCACAAACTCATCAATACCGTGTGTTTCTACTGATTTAACACTTGTATCAAAACATCAACTGTCTCTCTTATTTCCAATAGAACGAGAGAGACGACAATATATTTCACACAAGTGATTCAACAGTGGAAATCCAGCTTTAATCATTTAATAGCTTTCATAAGCTGAAGCGATACTAAAAGATAAGATTTCGAGTACTCCTAATTTTATATTTAGCACCTCCCAGAATAGGCACGTTCATCACATGTTCTCAGTTCTGAACGATACATCTAATTCTATGCAGATCTACTTCGATTTATAAATCCCTGTTACATTCACGCATGTAAATATCAAAATTCTTTTCTTCCTATTCTTAACAAGTCTCGAGATATTAATAAAAACTTTACACCTTTAGACGAATGATAAAATATCCTTTTACGTCAATACCCTTAGCGTTTTCAGTACTCGTATATAAAATTTTTATTTCAATAAAACTGTAATCGACAACTCAACAACTATTTCATCGTGTTGGAAACAGAGAATAAATAATTTTATTAAAATTCAACTTGTAATATACAGCAATCTTTTTACACTATAAATTGTACGTGAACGGAAAATTTTTAGAATACAATTTTCAACATGCAATCCAATTAAAGCTATAAATATTTTTCTTATACAATCCTATCTATAAAAGCGGCATTTCGCAATTGTCAAAATCGTGCCTCAACGCGCAGTTCCGGGTTGAGTTTGCCGACCTATACATACATTATATATAATTTTTTCTTTTCACAATTCTGGAAATGCTAATCGGCCGAACCAGTTGATAGTTCGCGCGCAAGGCTCGCGCTCGCTCACCTTCCCAGAAACGAAAGCGAGACGGCTAACAGCTCGCCCGCGCCTGCGCCCGCGTCTCACTACTAGCCAGAAATGTCATTATCGTAATAACCTCCCGGAATGAGGGCCCTTTCCGATATAACTTCGTAAATAGAGAACACGGTACAGACGTAAACAGATGCTCACAATATTATGCTAAAATTAGAGCTTATACACAAATAGCGTTCTAAAACGAGCTAGACGAGCGATTTACGCGCTCAATTTTTTCATAGCGTAGCATCAAAGTATACACAGTTAGCACATTTGAATACGTGTATAGACGTTAAAAGTACCATCTAATCATATTTACTTTTTTAAATGGACAATTTATAAAAAGGCAAAGCGGTCTGGCTCCGTCGATAATTTCAAGGGATATTATGACTTGTTTCCAAGAAGGCGCAGCTATTAAATTGACCAAAACCGCACCCGAACCGGTCACACAAATATCCATTACATAATTATCGACATATGCATTTAGACATCGTTACAAGAAATGCATTTTATAAAACAGGAAAATTGTAATTATTGTTATGTTATTTATAAATGTATATTATTTTTATAGTAAAATCGGTAATAAGTTACTAATCCCAGTCGTCATCGCTGGAGGATCGTTGCGGTGTGGACTCTCCGGGCTCGGGGATGGCGTTAGCCATGGCGTGCAGCAGGGAACCGCCGCGCGCGCCTGCTCGCTCCGCACCAGAGATGCCGCGCCGTCTCATCGACAGCTTGGCGTGCAGGTCCGCCATCAAGTCGCCGCCTACTGCCGCTTTGTTACCCTGTGAACATAAATCATACTAATATTATAAATGCGAAAGTTTAGATGGATGGATGGATGTTTCTTAGAGTTTGTAGCCTAAACGCCTAAACGGATTTCGATGCAATTTGGCATAGATGTAGAGGAAAGTATGGAAGAACACATAGGCTACTTGCATTTGTTTTTTCTTAATTCCGAGCGAAAGGAGTCGCGGGCGAAAGCTAGTATACAATAATTTATAGGGTAAACGTTACAAGATAAAGTAGTGTCGATTATCCATTGCATTAAGGCGTTTTGCGCCGGAGAATTACATATCACGACTCGTCATGAGAAACAAACGTCTATATAATAGGCTTCGATTATTTGTATAACTATCAAATTCTATGTATTAATTTTTATTAGCCCTTTATCGTTACTCATACATAACTAATTTAAAGTTTATTGGTTATAAAAATATGATAAAACAGTTACCATTTCCCGATAGCGCGGATGTTGGGATGAAAATAGTGTAAAATGGAAATAATTATCGTATAAAGTACTGAGAAACGAGTGGGACGTTACGTTGTTATCTGTTATATTATAACGAAGTTCAATGGCACGTTAATTAAAAAGATATAGAATATTATTATAATAAATTAAATTGGCTTATGTAAGACATTGTAATCTAACGATGCTAAGATTTGATTGTTTGTTGGAAGTTGCGTATGGAGTTATGTGAAGTAATCGATGCGGGCAAACGTTTAGTTAATAATGTATTACAGTCATAGTGAATATTGGATTAATAATATCTAATTTCGTTAGAGAGCTTGTCAACTGTAAAATGATTATCTTTTTTGGTAATTGCATCTTAAAACTAATGGGACTGGACGTAACAGAAGTATTTTTTTGTTACTAATAAGAGTTGTCTCAAAAGTAAACACATAAACACACACTTGTGTCAACATAAGGGCTTTTGTCGCCAATTGAGACAGCGAAAAGACTTAAGTCGACTATAGCATTCACATACTATGTATAGAATATTAATCAAATCATTGCTCGACAACAGTGTATGTGCCATTTCAATTTTTAGATACTATCAAACAATAATATCCACTAACAGCTTAAACATAAGGAGTAGAATCGCATGTAACATCGCAAATGTGGCTCGGTCGACCCGCTAACAGAATCTCCATAACAGGATAACCTCCAATTGAATAATTTAAGTAATAAACATTTGGGAGCGAACCTGCTCTTCCTTTTTAGAAGCAGCGGTATCTCAACGAGCTGTTACCGAGAAGTGGACGTGGGGGAAAAAATTGCCAGAGCAAAAAGTATTCTACGTAGTGCAAAATGTAAATACTTAAGATGGCCACGGCCATTCCTGAGGCCAACTTACATTACGATGCTGCGGCCAAATCGCTTCTCGCCGTTGTTGGCAGAATTTAAAATAACATTATAAAAAATGTCAACAAGGTAAAGATTTAGATATTTAATACAAGCATTAAACTATTACATTTACTTGTTTATGTAAATAACTATCTTACTACATGTTAATATAAAATGTTTTGTTAATTTACGTTATTTAAAACAAATGTAATGGTCACAAACAAAACAATAAATACTGCTAACGTGTATAGGTCAGGTTTATCGTATAATTGTTGAGCATAGTGCAGAGGTGGCGAAACCAACGACCGCATTAGTCTATAAAAAACAATCTATAAAAAATAACTTGGACAAGTTTCGATTTCTTGGTAATTCAATCATCTTTAAAAATTTTGAAATGGCTTTAGAAAAGGACAAGAATTACCTCGATGGATAGAAAATATCATTTTAAACCTACACTTTTTAAAGTAACAAAATATTTCTCGATTATCTGTTTAAGTCAAGAACGATTCTGAAAACTTACTCAAACTGAAAGTTCTCAAACTCAAATATTTTAAATTGGCATTTCTTTGATAAGCTGCACTAATTAAAATATCGATTAAACATCCGGATCTGCGGCCCTTGTATTCAGAGCTTTGACACCTCTGGCATAGCGTCCAGCCAAGAACGTTAACCTGTTTATTTTGTTACGAAGAGTTAAACAAAAATCGACCTTATTCCTATTTGAATTCAGTTACAAATTACATAAGTTATACAGTAGCGGTGTTAGTTTATTTATTGGGCCGTTATCACAACAAACAAGTTAAATAGAGTTTACAATTGGTTACGGTCACGAGCTATAATATATATAGAGTAGACTGAAAACCCTACCTTTGATAATATTTCGGCACAAATATCGAAACTTTTCGCGTAGTTATATATGTATTCCAAGCAATATTATACATATAGCTAATAAAAAGTTGTTAAAGACATGATTTGGAAACATGAAATCAATATTTTAGATACCAGAATATCTATAGGATACACAGACAACGAATCTTCAATACATAGAGATATTTAAATCGAATAAGTTAAATCGTTTCATAAAAGATGGTATTAAAAACGGTTTTGTTCAGAAATAAAAATAAAATACAAATAAAACGAAACACATTTTTTGTGCTACCTATATTGGTATATAAAAATTTGATTTGAGTTTTTATGACAATAATATTGAAAGATTTTTTGTTATCGATATTCTTTTTTGGTGCCGGACCTCTGGCCCCGATATTAAACGAAGTATCACGCCGCGACCATTTCGGAGTATCCATTACCTCACTTCATGCGGAGAGTTGATTTAAATTATAAAAAGGTAATTTATAACAAATTTTACATAGAATTGTTTTGTTTTAAGTGATTATACTCGTAGTCTCTCATTTTAGACTCATACAATTGCAGAAACTTTAGGATGCAAGTGTACGTGTGATTACAAACACGTTGAAAAAATGATTGTTCCTTACATTATTTTAGTGTAAGGGATTTTCTAGACAAAGTTGTCTTCTGCGAATATATAAAAGACTTAAGTTCAAATATTCAAACACTCAAAGGGATGCAAAACGTCGATTCATTAAGAATTCAGGAGCCACAAACATTTCTCGAAGTACTAGAGCGTAAAGTGCTATAAAAATATTATAGGGCGACAAAGAGAATTCACTAATCGTATACTTTGTTAGTGCCAACAGTGAACACTAAGGGTAGGCCATTAAATACACCGGCGTCGGTTCTTTCAGCGAACGATCTATAAAAACAAAGAGACATACAAACGCGTCTCCGAAAGGAGCGTACACATCACATATTCCCGGGAAACGCGCGACAAAAGCCGGCTCATGCGAAATGAACGCTTCAACGGAAATTATCGATTCCCTTTAAACGATACAGCGATTTGTGAACTTGAATCTATATTAATACAACTATACTGAGATGTTGACAGAGGAAAAATACTACGAGCTATTATTTTCTGGATCTCGGAACTCTGCTATTCTTCAAAGCTATTCAACAATTATTATACAAGCAATTACGCGATATTGTTCTCTCATAAGTCGGTTCAGTTTCGATAATAAATTTTCAAAGATATTGGTTAAAATGAAGTATAGTTTTACATTGAATAACAATAACTTAACTTTTAAGTATGGAAACGAGTGAAAATTGAAAAACTTGTGCGTATTAAGATGAAGGCTTCTTAATAAGGTAAGGACCTACATTGTAATATTTGACTTAGCATTACATTCGTCGCTCTCTATAAATGTTAGAAAGTTAAATTATGTAAAATAATAACTTATTCCAAACCACGGATAATTTTAATTAACCAATGAACTGAACTATTACAGTTTACACCTAACAAGCCTAAACCTACTTTTTAACACAGGTTATTTTAACGAAAAACATTCGGTGAAGGGATATTAAAAGGGGCTAGTAAGTAACTTAAAAGAGAAAGTTGAATAAATTATACCTATCGATTCGGTTGGACTAAATCTTGATATCGTTTTTAATATTTAGGTCCTGTTTCATTCGAAAGATATTTAGTGTCGCAATCAGATGTGTTCATAAATAGATCTCCTTGTAGTTTTACTATAAATCTAAGCTAAACGAATCTTTATTCACCCATTAAACTTTGAGTTAGCAAAAACGTGGGCAAGGCAGGCGAATGTGTTCAAGGAATTGTGGAAGCGGGGTCTTGGTGTATTGATAGGCCTCAATTAAAAACCGGTGTGTGAAATGTGTTCACGTGCCATTTCGTTATAATGGTGACATATTTATAATATTAAAGGCCTGTCCCACCACTAGCTGATAGAGGCTCAGATAGGTTAAAAAAGACGTCACACAAGATAAGGTAACAAAATCCGATATTTCCATCACATATTTTACACATCGGATTGTTCTCAGACAATTTACAATTTGGTAGGGCAGGATCTAATTATTATTAATGAATATAATATAAATGAAATATCTTGCGGTTTATAATTTCTGTTAACCTTACACTATAAGTTCAGTTACGATGTCGATGAAATTTTTTTTACATATATTATCTAGAAATTTTCTCAAGTATTACTTATTATTATTAGAATAACTCAACACCTATGATATTCACAGATGAAGGAATTAAAAGGAAATTCATAGAGTAATTTGCATATTTTCTGGGAAACTCAGGCTGAGGACCGTTCTATCGAAACATCGAGAGAAAAAGGTCAAGTGTTAATAAAAACAGTAAGGGACCTCGTAACGTAAACAACAAATTTACATATCTATTCGCACGTGATCCCCACCACGTGGAAGCACACACACATACAAACAACACAATAGCCGTTGATACTATTATCAATATTACGTTATCACAGAGTAGAATAGTTGTCATTCTTAGAAGTACGCCAACATACAATTACAACGGTTTCCTTGAAGCGTCCGGCATTGTAATTATCCATACAGAGCCAGTCCGTGGTTTAGATACAAAAATAGAAACCATAGTTTTTGTTCCGGCCGACAAAGTAATGGCTAATTAAATTGACCAGGACAATTAATTTTTTTTAATAGGTCGATGTTTGACCGCGATTTTTATGACCGTATAATCTAAATTGTAGTGACGTAGGTATTTTAAATATAAGCATGTAGATGATCATAAAATTTTTAATCAATTGTATATGGGACGAGGAAAGCAAGATCAATTTAACCCGAATAGAGACCGAGTAGTAACACTAAAGGTTAAACAAAGACTGGCTGCTGTTATTGCATTAGAAATGTTTAATCGATTTGACCTAAATCGAATGAAAAATATTTTCGATTACGAGAGGGTATCAATTCCTCGGAATCGTACGTTCGTTAAGGTTGAACGATTAAAACAAGCGTCGCGCCGGTTTGCGGCTAATTCGCAGGCTTATTGGAGCGATGGGGGCAATAAAGCGCTAATTGAGTACCAATACAAGAAGCCCATGAACGATTCCGCGAACCGCAAGATCGACACGCTTCATCTGCTTTGTTACAATATTAATAAATAAATAAATACTTTATCTGAAAGAAATAAAAACACGTTGGATCCAGGAATTGTTTTTAAACTCTTAGGTCATAGGACAAACTGTAAAAGTAGGCATGACCTCTACAGTACATAGAGAATGCAAGGGAAAAAGATGTAAAGCTCTGGGTAAATACACCGAGTAATAATAAAATGTGATAAACAGATTCGGTTTGTGTGTACCGCGTGCGTATAAAATTATCTCTTGTAGCAATTAATAATAACTAAAAATACAGCAAAAGGCCACTTGTACGATTACAAGAGATAACACATTGTCGGTAATGATATGTTTCTCCGTAAACTACGTATGTACGTTTTACTTCAATGTCGGGTACATAATAATTAACGAGCGTATTGTTGTCGGTCGCACATCCTTGTCAGGCACGCGCCCGTAAACCTACTTAAATGGCGAGGTGACTTTGTCGTGACATGAAACAATCTACAAACGCTATTTTTATTAGCAAACTAGCTATCGCCTACGACTTCATATAAGCTTAAGCATTCTATCAGAATAGTGTGAGTTCATCGGCCAAGGGTGGCTGGCAACAACAGTTTAGATGCTGTCTTGACAATTGTCAAAGTGTGGTCGTATGTGGATGGTGGTAATAGAATGTCGTTTGACAGCCCACTCGACGAAGTGGCGGGCGCGTGCGGAGACCGGTTCCAAAATCGATTCCCGGCATAGCACTCGGTCGTGTTTTAGCTGAACAGATTTGAACTTTTTACTCTTCATGAAATGCGCGAATCAAACCACGTATCGA